AGTGATCATATTTTTTCGTTGAAAATAAAAAATCATGAGTTTGAGTTGCATAACATGCTGATAGAATGACATAAAAGATGAAAGATAATTATTTTTCATTGTATAATTAAAATAAAAAAAATCAATAAAAATTTAATACATGGTATCTACCATTAAAATAAAACTTAACCTTTATCACTTTTAAAATAAAAAGTAATAATTGGATTCAAATTCCTATGATGTGATTCACATTCCACAAAATTAAATAAATTGATCTTGAAAATACTTAAGGTTAAATGCTGAATTTGGTCCCTCAATAATTTTTTGTACTTTTTTGATCCCTCAACTATACAAAATACATTCCGTTAGTCCTTTTGTCAATTTGGGACGTTAACTCGACCACATGACATTTTTTTATATTTTTTTTATGACATGGCGATGATAACTTAAAAAGGTGCTGATCTAGACTTTTTTTTATGACATGTCTTTTTCCCGCGCCAATGCCCCTCCAATGAGTCCCACGTTGCCTGCAAACCACCAATAAACAAAGGTCTGTGAACCCTCGAATGGTCTCTCATCTTCACTCTCTGCAAAATCAATTTAACTCATATCTTTTTATTCTCTGAATGCTCTCTTATCTCCACTCCATCTACAAAACCGATATTAACTCATTTCTTCTTCTTCTCTTTTCTATCATTGAACCCAACTACTGGGTTTCATTGAAGTCTCTAGCAGATCTTATCAAAACAAATTAACCCTTCAATAAACAACATCAATCAAACTCTAATCAAATTCCAACAAAATACAATCAAACTCTAATCAAATTCCATTGTAAATTAACTCACAAATTTATTAACAACTGGGAATAAAAATCGAAAGAACCTAGCCGATCTGGGTTTCGACAAACCTAGCCTTCAACAAAACCAGCAAGGCTGGTTTGCGCGACTAGCAAGGCTGGGTTCGTCGAAACCCAACCTATTTCTACCGACCCAGGGTAGGAAAGAAAGAAAGAGAAAGAAAGAAGGGGAAGAAGAGGGATTGGGAGGGTGAAGGTAATAAGGTAATTTTATTTGTTTTTAATTAAAATATAAATATTAATCTACATGGTATTTTTATTTATTTATATAACATAATTATAATATATATTATTGTCACATCATTAAAAAAATTAAAAAATAATGCCACATCATATTTAACTGATGGAATGACCAAAACTGTGCAATTTTTAGAGTCGAGGAATAAAAAAGATACAAAAAATTGTTGAGAGTTAAAAAATGTGCATTTTATAAAGTTGGGGGACTAAATTTAACATTTAACAAATACTTAATCACTAAGTAATCTACTGTATATGATTTGAAGACTCAGTTCTAAATGATAGAATGATAAAGATAAAGGGCAAACCCAAAATAACCTTTTTTCCTTTTGACTTTTCCTTTCACGTTCCTGTATTGATATGCAATTGAAAATAAACCACGTAAATTTAAAACTGAGATTTTTAATTTAAGAAACATGAAAAAGTCATATGCACGTGAAGTTATGTTAGAAAAGTTGTCCAATAAATAAATTATGAATTAGAATTCACATTTATTCACATAAAAAATAAAAAAATAAAAAATAAAAAACAAACAAACAACAGACCCCACCTTCAGGACTCAATTATTACGTAGTACAATCTACTAGCTGGCCTGACTAGATTATTATTATTTTTTTTCAAGAAAACTGGATAAAGAACTAGATTAATTTTTCTTTCCACAACGAATTTGGAAGTTTGGGACATAATGAGATTTGGATGAAAAGAAATGTAATGAATAAATCTACGGGGTAAACAAACATGTCTCAATTCCATTTTGAGGGCATCTCCAAGTAGCAATCAAGCAAGTACCACTTGATCAAGTTGCCACAACAAGGTGCCACCGAGATTATGGCATTGCTTACAATATTATCCTTCTCAAGTCATTCCCAAACTACATAAAAGGTATATTTTTCGTAATTTCATTTGAAAATGTATTTCCAACTCTCCATTAGGAGTTGGAATACAGCATCATTTGGTACCACTATAAAAAGTTAATTAGGGAAAATGAAAAAAAAAAAAACCTTTAAAGTAAAAGAAAATTTGAAAACTTAAAACTCAAGTAGCTTTGAAAGTCAGAAACCGTAGAAAATGTCCAAAAGAAACTTAGCTTTTAACAAATTCCCTTTTCGAGATCTGTAAATTTGATAGCATCTGAAATAAAGATGTAAAGAATTAGAGAATAGAAGGAGAATCAGAAGGGAGAAGGAAGAAGGAAGAGATGAGGAAGGTGAGACAAGGAATCAAAGGAAGAGAATTCTGTATTTTCATGACTGAACTCAATTACAGTAGATCGAGTTGGGCTTTTATAGCCATTATTATTACATGTATAACTTCTTTTAGCCTAGGTTACTGGGGCATGTATCAAAATTCCAGGGATTTTGATAAAAATTAATGCCAGAAAACAAAAAAAAGAAGAAGAAATTCCTAAATAGCCAATTAAAAACTTTTATGGATAAAATTTCAAATGAAATTGAAAGACAGAAGAATGCCTTGTACTCTAGTGATCACTTCTTTTTTATAAAAACCTTCTTAGGTTAATTTAATAGATATGAGTTTGAGTTTTATCTTACCGTTCAAAAAATAAAAAAAAAATAAAATTAAAAGACAGAATTTCGAAAAAAAACTATCAGGAAGGTTCGCAAAACCCTTAAATAAGGATCGAAGAAACCGCAGAGAAAAGGTCGAGACTCTGAAGAGAGGGAGGCGGTCGTCATCGCCGTCGGAGGAGAGGGTGCATTTTCTGACCTTTGGGTTTGGCAACTTTGATTGCGCACTAGTCTATGGGCTCAAATTTTTACATTGAACAAATTGGGTCGTTTCACTTGGATAGGGCCGAATTGGGCCGCCCAACTTCATCAATGAATTTAAATCATTATCATTATATTTTATTTCATTAAATTAAATTAATTAAATAAACTTAATCTTTTTTTTTTTGAAAGAGTAATCATGAATTTTTTGAAAACATACTTAATTTTTGCCTCATTTACGTCATTGTTGGTTTTGTTAGTAGAGTATTATCACATCTTAAATAATTAATGTCATATTTTTTAATATAATTGTATATTATAAACTTATATCACATTTTTTTAATAAATTAAAAAATATAATAATTAATTAAAATAAAAAATATAATATTAATAATTAAGAATATGACAATAACATTATCCAATAAAATTTAATAAATTTAACTTTACTTGTTTATCCTAATTAA